GATTCAAACCCGCCACCTTAGGTGTATGTGGCTGGCGCCTTAGCCGCTTGAGCCACAGGCACCGAGCCAGAAAAAGTAAATTTAAAAGACACCCAGTGCTTACGGCAATCTGGGCTCATAGCTGAGTCCTGGCATTAAAAAAATTAATTAAAAAACAAAAAAATAAAAGTCACCTGGGTGGCTTTATTAAACCCAGGTAATAGGTGGGCACAGTGGCTTATGCCTATAATCCCAGCACTCTGGAAGCCAAGGCAGGAGGATCACTTGAGCTCAGTTTGAGACCAGCCTGAGCAAGAGTAAGACCCTGTCTCTACTAAAAATAGAAAATCTAGCTGGGTGTTGTGGGGGGCACCTGAAGTCCCAGCAACTTAGGAGGCTAAGGCAAGAGGATCACTTAAGCCTAAGAGCTTGAGGTTGCTGTGAGCTAAGCTGATGCTACGGCACTCTAGCCCTGGTGACCAAGCAAGACTATCAAAAAAACAAAACAAAACAAAACAAAACACATAAAACCAGGGAGTAGGAAAAAAAAATCATCGCCCAAGCCCCCAGACCATAAAAGCCACTTAAATATTTGAAGACTGAGTAAAGAACGAGAGAACTCACGTAGAGGCTGAGGAGACAGAGGCTGAAACGCACTACTTTACAGGAGAAATGGCCTCCACACTGCGAACTTGTTAAAGACACAGACTCACAGGTGCCACAGAGATGCCTGGGCATAGCTCGGGCCATAGGAGCAGCTGTAGGTTCACCCCATCCAGACCCACATGTCCCCACACTTGAGGACCTTAATTCCCAAAGAGCAGCGCACAAGCTAGGCCTGCACCAATGCTGTCCAGGAAGGGCCAGTGCTGCGTCTGCTGTGCCCCCAAGCTGCCCAAAGAAAATTCTAGGAAGGATTCTCATCTGCTCATGTACAGGGTCCTCCATGGTGGTGTCATCGGGCTGAGTCCTGGCTCCGAGTCTGAAGCCTGTGGAGTGCCAACTCTCGCCCCAGACAGGGACTCACCCTTTACACACCCAGCAAGTGTGTGCCCCGAGGGCCTGCAAGTTTTCAGGCCTTTTCCTGGAGAAGCAGGCATCCTTGCCCACGGGCAAGTATGGACCTGAAGCCAGGGGCTTTCCGCTACTCAGCTGTGTCTGGTCTGAGGAAGATGAGCATCAGGCAAGGACAGTCAAATCCCCAGAAGGGGACCCTCTAAATGCTAGTATTTGGAGGAGGAAGAAGCAGTGTGTCCTCATCGTTAAGCAGCAAGAGGAGACCCATGACCAGCCACGGGCCATGTCACCCAAGGGGCCCCCAAGCCATGATGTTCTCTAGCTGCTCAAAGCAAGTGCTTCTGGCACAGACGTGATGCCCAGGGCCCCAGCCCTGCCCAGCGTCCTTCCCACTCCTGGGCTGTCCCACAGCAAAGCTAAGCCTCTCAGATGTGGGGGCAGATGGGACAACACTTCAAACCCCAGCTCCACTGCTCTGCCCAACAGTTTCTCTGCATCTCAGTTATCTCACCAAGACCCAATCTGACACCACTAACTACTTCTGGACAACTAAGGGAAAGTGCTCAGCCCAGGGCCATGCACAGTAAACACTGGAAGTCAATGATATTACCAGAAAGACCCATATCCAACCAGATAGGCCTTGCAGTTAGTTTCCCAGGCACTTACGTGGAGAACTTCATAGGGTAGTCTCCACCCCAAGGTGTCTTTTCTTTTTTTTTTGTAGAGACAGAGTCTCACTTTATCGCCTTTGGTAGAGTGCCATGGCATCACAGCTCACAGCAACCTCCAACTCCTGGGCTTAGGCGATTCTCCTGCCTCAGCCTCCTGAGTAGGTGGGACCACAGGCACCCGCCACAACGCCTGGCTATTTTTTGTTGCAGTTTGGCTGAGGCCGGGATTGAGCCTGCCACCCTCGGTATATGGAGCTGGTGCCCTACTCACTGAGCCACAGGCGCCACCCCCAAGGTGTCTTTTCTAAAAGAGCCTACCCCAGGCTTCAATGGTCCCCGTGCCTGTACTGAGCTGGGTCTGTCTCAGTGCCCATGTAAGCCCTTCAAAGGCAGCAGGGCTGTGTCTCACCACACAGGGGCCTCACAAGTGTTTTGAGCAGGCTCAGTCCTGAAGGTCCCCTGCCCTCAGAGGAGGTCCTGGCAGGCAGTGGCCAGGTGTGAATGTGCAGCCACTGAGAAGCATGTTGTGTTGTGTCTTGCTGTGTTTTAACTTGCCTTTTAAACTCAGTATCCACTGTTGCATTTGAGAAATCACAGCCAAGTTTTCAACCAACCAATGTGCAAATGGCCTTTTTCAAGATCTATTAACAAATGAGGAGTAACTGAGAGAAAAGTGCTAAGCACTTCGCCATGCGAGTCACTGTAGCTATGGCCCCACCCTGGGACCTGGGCCAGTCCACGGCCTGTGAGGAACTGGGCTGCACACAGGTGAGTGGCGGGAGCGAGTCACTGTAGCTGTGGCCCCACCCTGGGACAGCAGCGGGAGAGTCAGCAAAAGCTTCGTCTGCCACTGTCTTCTGTCACCCCTAGATGTGACCATCTAGCTGCAGGAAAACAAGCTCAGGGCTCCCACTGATTCTGCATTATGGTGAGTTGTATAATTATTTCATTTTTTTTTTTTTAGAGACAGAGTCTCACTTTATCACCCTCAGTAGAGTGCTGTGGCAGCATCACACAGCTCACAGCAACCTCTAGCTCCTGGGCTTAGGTGATTCTCTTGCCTCAGCCTCCCGAGTAGGTGGGACTACAGGCGTTCGCCACAACACCCGGCTATTTTTTTGTTGGGATTTGACCGGGGGTGGGTTCAAACCCACCACACCCTGGGTATGTGGGGCTGGTGCCCTATTCACTGAGTCACAGGTGCCACCCAATTTCATTATTTTATAATGTAACAATAATATAAATAAAGTGCAGAATATGTGTAATGTGCTTGGATCATCCCCACATCATCCCCCCACCCCACGTCCAGGCTGTGGAAAAACTGTCTTCTATGAAACTGATCCCTGGTGCCCAAAAGGTTGGGGTCTGCTATACTATAGGACATCACATCCCCTGAGTTTGGAGGGCAGCTGCCATGCCCCCATATAGATATTAATGTGGGGGATGTTTTCAGAGCAAAAACGATTTTGTGGATTCCAGAAATGTCTCTCCTAAAATAAGCATGTAGAATTATTTTAAGGGAATGTGAATCAGGCCCATGTCCATATGGTACAGTTAACACACTTCT